GGAAGAAGATTCTTAAATAATGTTGAATTTAAACAAGCTTTACCATCAGATGAATTAGAGCTTAATCGACTTTTGACTATTCATGCATTGGTACGTTTTAAGAATGGTAATTTTTCAGCTCCTGTCGAAGAAATATTAATGAATAATAATGCTAAAGTTCTTGATGTTGGGTAAGTATGTTGTTATAATTATTATGTTATTTCTTGATTAATATTTATTAATATTTATTTATTTGGTAGATGTGGACCTGGTTGTTGGATTATAGATTTGGCAACCGATTTTCCAAAATCAACGTTTATTGGAATAGATATTGTATCAGGAAATTTTCCTCCAGTAAATAAACGACCTTCTAACGCAGGATTTCTGGAATGTAATGTGTTAAATGGAATTCCATTTCCAAATGAAACTTTTGACTACGTCCATATGTCAATTATGTGGTCAGCATTTACTAGAAAACAATACATAAATACGATTCATGAATTAGTACGTGTAACTAAGCATGATGGATGGATTGAGATTCAAGAATCTGATTTGGAACTCGTAAATTTAGGAGATTCTATGAAATTTCTTCAAAGTACCGGTAAGTTTACATAAATCTCTTTATTCATCATATATTGAAAGTTTGTTAAATTAATTGTTATCTGTTATTATATAACTGTAACAGTGCACGCTAAGTTAAGAGAAGATGGATTTGATCCAAAAATTGTTTTTGAGATACCTAAATGTCTTGAATCCATTGATGAAGTGAGTAATTTTGAGCATTATGAAATAAAAGCTTCATTAGGTAAATGGTCAGGAAATCTTGGTGAATATGTAAGTTCAATATTAATCTATATTCATATATTATATGTGAAAATATAACAATTGAATTGATCTATTTTAATCATTGTTTTTTCAGGCATTAGAATTATTAAAACAATATTATGGTGCTTTGACTTATATGCCAGATTATATGAAAATATCTCACCAAGAGTATCAAAAATTATTCGAAAAATTTGATAATGAATGTAATCAAAATAAAACTTATGGAAAAATG